ATATGTAATAGTAATGCAAAAAGCTAATAAAATATAGGTTACGATTTGGCATTATAAAAAAAAAAAAAAAAAAAAATATTTTCTTGACTCAGATTTGAAATGTTTGATGCCAAAAATGATCTAATATCACTTATTTTCTCCTTACTAATACTAACAAATAAATCATATATTTTTCCTGATCTTTTTTTTTTCAATGCATTATTGATGATATTATCAGGAAGTTGTTTTTGGATTTCATTATTAATCAAGACTAAACATGTGCATTCTCCATGATTCAGATTTTTGTAATGATCAAATCATTTTTTTAAAACTACACCAAAGTTAAAGTAATATTCAATTATATCTTTATTTGTCATTTTATTTTTAGATTCAGTCTATGAAATTTTGTTATAATGATATAAAAAATTATTTGTATTTTCATTAACTTCTATTATTTTCTCAGAATTTTCAGATACTATTGATGTCAATTTTTCAATAAGTTTTTTTAATATAAAAGAATCTTTTTTTAAAACTTGCTTCTTTGCTTCCTTACTAGATAATTTGTCAATAGATTCATTAACACATTTTTTTTGTATTTTATTTCTTAATAATAGTGATATATTCATTAGTGAATTTAATCCAAAATTATTATCTAACATATTTACAATAGTTGAAGTTTCACTAGACTGAGATGATTCAGAAAACCTTTATTCAGATATTATTGCATCAACAATTTTGTTACAATTAGGAATAAGATATTTGTTCTCTTTTATAATTAAAAATTTTTTTTAATATATTTCTTATAATACATATGACTGTATAGGAGTATTGTAAATGATTCAAAATTAATTATTAAAATTTTTTTATTACATATTTTATATGATGACAATTCTGTAACTTCAATATTTTGTATTACATCATATTTCATTTCTTTTAAAATATTAAGAGTGAAATTTTGAAGATTAACAAGAAACATAGTAATATCAGTAAAATAAATACAGATAAGTTTCTTACAACAAATTTTTATTATACTTAGTTTATTTTATAGTGAATCCTCTATAACTAAAAATTAGATACTAATTTCAGATTTGATGATTTGTTTACTGAATTTAGGTGTATTTAACAATAATGTTTTAAAGAATATATAATGATTACCAGTTAGAGTTTTATATTAAATTAATATGTAGTAATAAAGTTGAAGTTATCACAAAGTAATATACTATTTATTACTAAGATTATACAAGATCTAAAAGATAGGGTGTGGTGACCTAGTGAAGTGGTCAGGTTGTCAACCTCCAAGTGGCAGGTCCAGAGTTCAAATCCCAGTGTCGACAG